TCGTATAAGTCAGTCAAGGTAACACTACAAAAAACATCGTTGTAGGTATTGTTCTAAAACATCGATGTAGGTATTGTTCTAAAATATCGTTGTAGGTATTGTTCAAAAACATCATTGTACGTGTTGTTCTAAAATATCGTTGTAGGTATTGTTCAAAAACATCGTTGTACGTATTGTTCTAAAATATCATTGTAGGTATTGTTCAAAAACATCGTTGTAAGTATTGTTCTAAAATATCGTTGTAGGTATTGTTCAAAAACTTCGTTGTAAGTAATTGTTCTAAAATATCGTTGTAGGTATTGTTCAAAAACATCGTTGTACGTATTGTTCTAAAACATCGATGTAAGTATTGTTCAAAAACGTCGTTGTAAGTATTGTTCTAAAACATCGTTGTAGGTATTGTTCTAAAACCTCGGTGTAAGTATTGTATATTTCATGTGTTCAAAGTATTTCTCGTTAAACCCTAACTATTCACGTCCGCTCATTTTTGTTCTTTCGAGATCGAAATAGGTTTAACATGTTATTGGTAGAACAATACCTACAACGATATTTTAGAACAATACGTACAACGATGTTTTTGAACAATATTTACAACGATATTTTAGAACAATACTTACAACGATATTTTTGAACAATACTTACAACTATGTCCAAGAAGAGGAGCACTGCCTAGGTCGTTCAAGAGTTTGCGTGAACGAGCCGACACATCGGGAAGAATTGGCATGTCTGCTGTGAATTCGGTGCGATTTGGTTGTATCTCCAAGTCTGTTGTTGAGGAAAAAAAGTCCAGAAAGGTGTTTGTTGTTGGGCGGTTTTGACGTCGTATTCTACAGGATCTGTCGTTATTCATGGGAAACGTTTGTGCTATTCTAGCTATACTTTTGTCTTCCGCAGTGTTTTCAGGAAATCTGGTTGAGGGACTTCTGGGTTCGCTGTCATACCAAAGTGGATCCGGTTTCCTTAGATAACAACAACATATGATAATAACACACATATAAATATACTAGCGAAAGTACCCGGCTTCGCTCGGGTTATTAGGTTAACAGTGTGTGTGTGTATCATGAACCCATTTTAGCATAAAAGTATAACATATATACTTTTGTTGCTGAGACACATGGCATAAAAGCCATTGTTGGAACCAATTGTTAACAAAAGCACTGGCTTTTCTATATAAGGAACCATTTATTTTCTATGTGTGTTTTTTACTATCGTGCCTTATTAAAAAAATGCGTGCACGCACGTGGATAATTAATAATACCCAGGTGCACACCCTCAGGGTCCACTTAGTATGTGGGCAAAATTTCAGGTTTCTAGGTTTTCCTCTTGGAGTTATCGCGGTCACACACACACACACACACACAGACCCACAGACACGCCCTTTAATTATTACAGCCATATACAGTAGTTTCATAATAATAACACAAATATATGTGTATATGTATAGCATTTTCATAGTAATAACGTACACGTATCTATTTAGTATCTCCAGAGTAATAACATACACGTATATTTACATATATAGTATTTTCAAAGTTATAAGACACACACATATATATATATATTCATGTATATGTATGTGAGATTAGAACAATGTCAGTAATAAAATAGATGAAATCAAATTTTTTTTGTGTGGCGTAAAAAGACAAAACATCTATCGTGTTTCATTCTGAGAATTTGGAATTGTTCTGAAAATGTATAAAGATTCATTTATATTTGCGATCAGTCTGCTTCCAGATTAGTGGGGAGGTGAGAATTGATTACCTCCTACAAGGTATCTAGAGAGGGAAACAGTGGAGTAAATGCCTGATGATGTTAGAAAAGTTAACACCAATACTCAGGTACCTAGAGAGGGAAGGAGTGGAGTAGATGTCTGATTATGTTAGAAAAGATAATATAAATACTCAGATACCTGGAGAGGGAGGGAGTGGAGTAGATGTCTAATGATGTTAGAAAAGTTAACACCAATACTCAGGTACCTAGAGAGGGAAAGAGTAGAGTAGATGCCTGATGATGTTAGAAAAGTTAACACCAATACTCAGGTACCTAGAGAGGGAAAGAGTGGAGTAGATGTCTGGTAATTTTGTTAGAAAAGATAATATAAATACTCAGGTACCTGGAGAGGGAAGGAGTGGAGTAGATGTCTGATTATGTTAGAAAATATAACATAAACCACTCCTTCCCTCTCCAGGTACCTGAGTAAGTAGATGTCTGATGATCAGATATCTACTCCACTCCTTCCCTCTCTAGGTACCTGAGTATTGGTGTTATCATTTCTAGCATGATCAGACATCTACTCCACTCCTTCCCTCTCTAGGTACCTGAGTATTGGTGTTATCATTTCTAGCATGCCACTCCTTCTTTCTGTAGGTACCTGAGTATTGGTGTTATCATTTCTAGCACAGTAGATGTCTGATAATGTTAGAAAAGAT